AACCAAACTGTTTCTGCCAGGGCCCAACGTTGAGCATACCCAAGAAGGTGCTGAGAGCTCTCCCAGCAGTCAGAAGGAGCAGAGGGAGCTCAACATCTCAGAGAACAAGATGCAGGGGTTAAAGCGCATGTAGTGTGGGAGCACTCTTCTTCCCGTTGCTTTGCCCTAAAAGAGCACACTGAGTTCTATTATTTGTCTTCATAGCCATTCCTTACTGGGGTCTGAGTCATGAACGGGTTAAAAATAGGAGGAATTGGCTTTCACCCCGGCGTGTATTGCTGAGCTGTTCTGGTAGTGCAAAGGCATGTGAAGGAAATTTTTCCTGCGAGGATTTCTCCAGTATGAGCACTGTGGCGCCAATGTATAGCTTTGAAATAACTCTCAGTGAACATGGTCAAGCACATCCCTGTGTCACCATTGCTGAATTGGTTTCTGAGCAGCTCATTCATTTTGTACCAGCCCCTACCCTGAGGGGCCTTGTACTTTCCCACTGTGAAATGTCCCAGGAGCCAGGGTTGCAAGGGTCCCCTTTGCCTTTCTTCAGTCAATCTTCTGATTGGGAAAAGTTAGAGGAAAACACTATAGTCCGTCATACGGGGGTATATAATATTTATGTGGATGTGTCTGTATACGCACACCATATATACCATTGCACAATTATTAGGGGTGTGCTAAGTGGGCCCTATTTGATTCGGATTTGGATTCAGCCCAAATCAGGGACAGTGATTCGATTAGTTGATTTGGATCGCTGTCCCTGATTCAATTCGGCCAAATCTGAATCTGAAGATTCGATGCTGATTTGCCGAATCAGCGATTCAGACACAGACATGGCGTTAAATGTTTTTCTACATAACTTGAGGTATCAGTGTGGCTTGCGAATGCTGTGATACTGGGGCGCATGGAGTGTCCCACAGGAGTGCGGGGGGGTCCACTTCTGGGTTTGCTGGGGAACCTGCTGGGGGCCCCCCTGCACTCCCCTGGCTCGGTGATTGGCTGCGGGTGGACCCCAGGTGCCCCCCTCAGACCCTGGAGGCACCAGTCACTGAGCTGGGGGTGGATGCAGGGTGGTCCCCTTGTGCGCTCCCCAGCGGACCCGGAAATGGACCAGAAGTGCTTCTGGTCCACTTCTGGGTCTGCTGCCGAGTGTGCTGGGGAGCCCTCCACGCTTCTGTGGGACGCTCCATGCGCCCCGCCATCTCGGCATTCCTGAGCCACCTGGTACCTAGAGGTATGTAGAAAACGCATTTAAAGCTGTGTCTGTGTCTGAATCTCTGAATCCCTCTGATTCGATTCAGATTTGGAGATTTGGCCACTGAATTTGGGCTGAATCTCTGCCAAATTGAACCAGGGACCAAAGCTTTGCACAGCCCTATAAATTATACTACACACACACACACACACACACACACACACACACACACACACACACACACACACACACACACACACACACTATATATTATATATTTGCTTTGTCTGGCAGTTTTAAAAGTGCAATGTTTACAATGATCCTTTTTCCCATTTCTGTGATGAATATTGCATACACCAGCTTCTGGAGGAGGAGAATTGTACAGCTCTATGGGTAAATTACTAAGTTTCTCACACTAAAAAAGTGTAGAGATTTCCTGCAAACACCTTAGTGTTTTGAAATCCTAAAATTGGTCAAATGACATTTGCAGTGCCAGCTGCTTGTGATGGTTTTTCCTTTCCAAGTTAACCACACATGTACTTTTTTTAATTGCCCATTAAAACTGAAAATAGGTCAAGGTATGGGAAATTTAGATGAAATCCCCAAACAAGGTTTGAATATAGTATAGGTAGCTTGAAAAAGAAGAAAGGAAATCTGCCTAAGCCTTCTGTAGGAAAAGGCTTAGCTTACTGCTTGTCACCATGCACGTAATCATATTTTCAGCATATGGTAGCTCTACTTTGTTGTGCAAATATTTTTACAGCTGATAAAAAAGTGTAAGCAGGGTAGTTGAGTCCCAGTGTTTCTTTAAGTAATGTAAGGAACACCTTGGCATCTTTATAACACAATTATATAGAGCTGCTATAGGCATAGCCATTGACATTGTTGGCCACTGTTTCACCCAAATTTGCTTCAGTATCTGAGGACAAGCAGAGGTCTGATCTCTATTTGGAAGTGTTCCTGCTGCCCTGATACTAGCTGTGTGTGTTCTTGTGTTCCCGGAGGTGAATTGTGGACACTGGTTATCAAACGTCTGGTCTTGGATTTTTTTTGTCATCAGGAAAACTTCCCGTTCTCCTTGCTATACAGGTAGACGCTACATAGGAGGGAGAATTAATTACCGGGGAACCGGTTACATCCAAATTGTATGGATGTTGTGATTTGGGCCCAGGCCTAGTCTTAAATAAGACTGGCTGGGAATCTTTCAACAAAACGTTTTTCCGTCAAAATGCTCCAGTTCTTCAAAACCAAATCTTTTTCCCAGAAGGGGTCAGTTTGAACAACTTTCTAAACAATTTCAAAGCAATCCGTTTGATGTTTTTAAAATATGACTGCTGCCTTCTTCAGTTTGAAATAACTTCAGGTTCAAAACAAGAAGTTATTTTTTTAAGATTCTTTGGGGAAAAAGAAGACAAAACTGAAATGATCCATTTTGAAATGGTCAAGATGAAGGGTTTGAACTGACCTGAATGTTTTCAGCGGGGGAGGGGACAGGAAGGGGAAGAGGGAAATGTCCTGTTTGCAAAAATATTTTGAGATTTTGACTCTTCATTTCAATCTAGAACAAGGACATTTTAGAAAAAATTCTGGGATGTGAAAACCATTTTCCACCAAACCCTATTTGTAAGCACGTGGGCGACTGTCACAAAATGACTGACAGACTGATACTTCATCGCCTTTCCTAGTGCAGTCGCTGACACAGTGGGGCTAAAAAGTGTTTCTAAATCAGAATTCTCCACTCTCGTGCATCAAAGAAACGATCTGTACTCATTTTGCCTTAACTTTCCAGAGGTGCAAGTAACAGCCTAATATACAAGAGCCGGAGGGATCAGGTGGAGTGCAACTGAGTTACATCTGAGATGAATTTAGCCTTGAATGTTTAAATGAGCCACAGCCTAAAGAAGACTGCCCTGAGTAATTCTGATAACAGAGTAATATGCAGTTTGACTTACCGCCGCACGATGCTGTGAACCCATTTGAGCAGATAATTTATTGTGGATCTCAAGCAATAAACTCACTTAAGCAATACATGATCAGAGGAGCTGGAAGAAATCTGTTTTTCCATACAGGGTGGCCATCTTCCTTTTGAATGTGTTTTATCCACTTCTATGCAAACCTAAAGTATCTGCTTTGTTAATGGCATCAAGAAGGATGTGTGGGACCTTGCTGTGTGTGATAACGTTAGATCAGCGCAGCTTGGGTATTCATGGCTTCAGGCCGACCGAAAGGACAAGGTTGTTTTTTAAAAAGCTGAAGGAAAATGTTTCTAAATGTCAAATGCTGTCTGTTAAATATACAACTCTGAGCATCGCCAACTTAATCTACCAGGGAGTTTAGGAATAATGTATCATCTGCCTTGAAGTGGAAATAATTAGCACCTCTGACATTAAGAGCATTCACATACCATAAACCTACGTGAAAATAATCACAGGCAGCACCTGAATAGAGTGGTTTCAGATGACACATTTTAAGCCTTAGCTCTCCCCAGCCTGACTTTCACAGGTTCGTGCCTGCAGACTGCTGAGTATCGACAACCACCAAAGCCAAAGTGAATGGCTGTTCAGTGAGGGGCTGCGGGCCCCCCTGGAGCTCGTCTTTCACGTGGTTTTGGGGGAACTGCATTTTCAACATTAAGTGTTTTCAGCCAGACAAGCTCCTACAGATGTAGATGATGATACAGTCTGCCATGGAGCAAAGGCAAGGGATGTTAGGAAGAAAATGTTTCCCAAGGGTTTTTTTTATCAATTTATCTGCCCTGATTTTACACCCCCAGGTTTGCGCGGACTTCCTATTATTCACAAATTCCAAGGAGGTGGAGAAGGGGGAGCACTTAGATAGCTTCTCTCTTAATATTCCTGCATTTACTAGTTTCCTTTATCAGTAGCTACATCCGTTCATTCTTAATAGACCAAATCTAACATGTCCATGGCTCTTTAAGGTAGGCATTATTTAAGAAGAGAGGACAGCTCTGATCCCAGGCTGGCCTCCTTGGGAAAGGGTTTGAGCGTGCTTGGTCCCGTGCCTCGGGCTACTCTAACTTAGCTTTGCATGTCCTCCTTTTAGCTCTTCCATGATCCGAAAGGGCCAGACTAGGTGCTCTTATTTCTGGAGAAGTGCCCATAGGACACTGTTAGTACAGCACTCCCGGTGCAAGCCATCTAGGCTGATAATTCATGGCAGGGGAGGCTCATGCCAACCAGTTCCTTTGTGGCGAGGGAAAAGGGTCACAGGAAATTTTGGGCACTTACTTGAGTGGTTTAATGATGGGTAGAGTTGGTGTGGGTTTCAGAGCAGGTGCCGTGCTGTGGTTGTTACCGTGACTAGTGTTTTACCTCTGAGAAAATCAGGAAATATGCAGCATGAGAGAGTCCGTTTCTTCCCTCCAAAGTCAGACATCGTACGAGTTTTGTATGTGGTAGTAAAGATCTTAAAGGATCTGTTTTTAACCTCTTGATTTTTAAATCACCTTTATGTATTTTCAAGTTTCCTCTCAGCTTTGCTAATCTTTACCTTGCTTCGCAGAGATGCGGAAAGCCCCCGGGGGACTGATTTGACCCTTAGTTTTCCCACCGTCCATTTGACGGCTGTAAATATCTTACTGAAACTATTAAAAGACCCTTGAATAAAACGGAATTTGAATCCCGGTGCTCAAAGTCAAGCGATATCTTTCTGAAAAGTGGGGAGGAAATAAGCTTCACTTTTTTGTTGGGGGGTTTGTGGCCTCCATATACCTGAGTTACACAAGGGGCGAAAGGGTGTGAACTCTCCTTTCTGTATGTGCAGTTAGGCGGAGAGAGCATGACCCTAGTGTCGCAGCTGTGAATTCAAGGCTGCTTTTAGCTGCCAGCATGAGACGTTATTAAAGAAGCTCCAAAACTGCGAACACATCCTGTTTATAACCACCAGCTCAGCAGTACCAGAGTGAGCAAGCAAGCGAGGAGCAGTTGGGTAACATCAGTGTGCTCTGTGGCAGGCGCTAGCACCAGCCACTCCTACATAATTGGATTTCATCTGGCTCATCCTGTGTTCACCCTGAAGCAATGGATCCCGTGCCAGTTTACCATGGGAACATCAGCCGAGAAACTGGGGAGAAGCTCCTGCTGGCTAAGGGGATGGATGGCAGCTATTTACTGCGAGACAGCGAGAGCATCCCAGGAGTATATTGCCTCTGCGTGCTGTGAGTACAAAGAACCGAGGGAAATTAGTTTCTGCATCAGCACCCCCCGTGCATGGGCTGTCCGAGGCCTGGGGGATCCAAGCTACCGTTTGAGATGCAGCAGCTTGGGAGTCTTTGAGGGGCCTGCTGCATTTGGTGAAGGGGCACTGGCACGGAGACCTCTGGGAGGGCAGTGCTAGAGTTCAGTGCTCATGCGGCTCTTAGGACTGTTGACTTCGAACTGCTCATTTCATGGTGCCTGTTTTGCCTGCCATGATGCTTGCCCTTTAACGTACCGTCTGGCATGTTTTGCAAATACAGCTCTTTGCAAAAAAAATCCTGAGGATTTAGCCGCTCGACTCTGGCTTCAGGCATAGAAGCATATAAGGTACATGTGGACCTTTGCTGGAAGAGCAGAGGACTGCCATGTAGAGCTTCCACCCTAAAAAGACCATAAAACTGAACAAAGGCAAAGAGTTATTGGTACTGGGGTTGTGGCATGGGGGAGAAGAAGGAATGAGGTTATCATAGATTAGAGCCATGTAGCTGGGATAGAAAACTGCCCGTGCTGTTTGCTCCTGCTGAATAATTCTTTGGGTTTTGTGCCAGTTGTCTCTTGGCTTCTTTGGCATCTGTTTCTGCCACCTGGCCGATATGCAGAAAACCAAACCTCTGCCTGTTCTGGGGGCTCCTGTGTTGGAGCAGTGGTACTTTCCATTCATATCTGGATGGCAAGGGGTTGCCCGCCAACATTTAGCCCGATTTTTGCCAGTCTTACTCAGGCTGGGCGTAGTCGCATGCACTTCCAGCATTTCTATTATTTTTAGAATAAACTATCCTTACAGTATAACATCCAGACGGATTGTAATAAAGGAAGTATTAATGTTTTATCAGCCAAGGTGAAGAGAGTTAGTGGGGAAGAAATTTCTGTCACCAATTCAGTAAGGAGTCACTGATGAGTTGTTTCTAAAATGGATATGAGTTGTTAATGTTTTGGGAGTTAATATGTATGGTGTATTTTAATTAGTGCAGTTTTAGGAAGAGGAAGGGATGAAGAATCCTAAGAGTTAGTTTTGTGCTTGAATATAGTTACACTGAAACAAAAAAATCTCCAGCAAGGTTATTCAAAGGACTACTTTTAAAAATGGAAGAGTAACAGGAAAACGTATTTGTATCAAGAACAAATTAGATGGAGCTAAAAGAGGAGGATTTTGCTCATATGAAAGAGAAGAGAGAGAGTTAGAGGCGTTATGAGGACTACTAAACAAACACCTCCCTCTCTTCCCACTTGTCCACAGTGGCCTTGGTATACTTTTCAAACACCACTTAATTTGGACTTAGTCTCCGAGGGATGTTAGCATTATCGTTCTCAATTTGCAGGTGAGCAAACTGAGGCAGAAGGCTGTTAAGTAGCAAAAGCTATAGAAGAATTACACGTCACCCAGTTTTCTTTTTAGAACTGTACTGTGAAGATCAAATTTTCTTTTCTCCCCTACTAAATGAGATGGAGACTCAGAGATGCTCCAGAACTGTTTGGACCCATGGATCACCTTCCTTTAGCAACATTTCTGGCCGACCACTAGTGCCTTCCTCAGTAAGCTTTTAATTGTAAAGGAATTCCAAGTGCCATCTGCAAGCTGCTTGCAGACACATTTTGGGAATTACTGAATAAAAGAATTTCAATACATATATGCCACACCTAACATTTATTTCACCTCAGCCTCGAACAAGAAAATCAGCCAGGAGATGAGTGCACTGAGTTAAATGTGAGTGCAGGATAAGGGATGTTTAGAAGAACCAGCACTGAAAGCTCAAGTCATCTTAAAGATCGGTCAGATAAAACGAAAGAGTTGAGCACTGGGTCCAGTAAAATTTAGTATTTCAACACACGATGTTGAGTAAGGAGGGCGCTGCCACTGTGGATGATAGAAAGACATTAGGAAATGAATGGACGTGCAAGTAACACAGACTTTTAGAGAAGAGTATGCACTGAACTGCAGCTGGCAAAATCATACAATACCAGAACAGCTCTGCCATGAAGGACCAGGAGGCACGAACAGGCAGTGTACTGCAAGTGAACTCACTGCAGGATCTTAATGCTGGTAAAAAGAAAAAATGTTAGACTGGCCAGTATGTGTAGAGACAGCATGCTTATAACTAAAGAAGCAGCAGAAGAGGCAATAGAGACACAGCAAGATACAGAAGAGAAGAGTGTAGACTTCTGGGTTCATCATCATCAAACAAGCCAATAATTTACAAGTAAATGTATTTCTATATTAAATAATTATTTGGGGGCAGCACACTTGCCTTTAGAGCTGTGTGTGAAGCACTTAGGACATCGCTGAAGTTAGAAAAATCTTTTCATCATCATTAAGAGTCTTTGCAGGTGACGGTTCTAGGAGTACCTAGAGAGATCAAGACTATTTAGTACTTACTGGAGACTTGATCTGAAATGATTTTTGAAATGGCAAAGTAAAGCCTGTATGTCAACAGAAAGACAGACATTGTAATAAATACTAAAGTTAGATGAAAATGCTATGTTCTCCAAAAAAAAAAAAAAAAAGAAATTTTCAAATAATACAACAATTATTTTGTTGGAATTTATTTTTTTCTATTCATTCCTCATTGTTTAAAGATCGAGTCCCAAACAAGTGACATTTGAAGAACAGATAAAAGATCAACAGTGGAAAGTAAGATATAATTATTGGTTTAGTAGGCTTCATACCAACTAGGGTTTTCTCTTATCAGTCTCCATGCAA